TCATGAAGGAATCGTTTACGTAGCAGAACATATGAGTAACAAACAGATATTTGGCAAAGTTTACAGCTTACCTGTTCTGGCATATCACAACTTTCAAAATATCCATCCGGGAGAAATAGATAGATATATCCCCTCCCCCCTTAAAAAAAGTTTGCTTATAATATTGACGAGAAATACTATTAAGCAGGGATATTTTCATCGGAAACAAAAAAGAAGCTTGGCAGGGTAATCGAAGGTGTACTGAATTCCATAGATTCTGAGCTGTCTTCTGCTTATTATTTCTTATATGGAAGTATGACCCATGCTAAGCACACAGGTCTTTTATGAGGTCTAATCCCGACCCTTGAGTCAGGTAGAAACAGGTTACATAATTAGTGGTAATTTAAATAAGACATGATATATCATATATTGGGTAGCTGCCTTTGGCGTTTCGTTTCTATCTACTATCTTAACTCGAGTGCCTCTTGTCGCTAGGGCACAATCCACCTTACCATCGGAACAGAACAGTGATCCGGTAATTGCATCTAATTGGCCATTTCTTATCTCTGAATGTTGATGCTAGAAACTGATGCTCGAACATGGTTGAGCTAATACACTTTTATGTATGTTTAGAACGAGGAAGCTGAGAAGTAGAGAACCAATTGAACTTCCATAAACGGCATTAACGTCACATGTATTGCCGTGCACGTGCCCGACCATGCATATGTCCATGCATCATTCTGGCTTTGTGCCACCTGGAAAACAGTTTTGATATTAGTAAGTACATTCAAGCATCGAATAAACCAACTTTTATATGATAACGAAGAACGTTGATTTATCTGTTAACACTCAATCAAATAAGATTTCTAAACCTGTGACAGTTATTGTGGCGCGCCCGCGGTTTTACTCTGCTGGGGTTTGTGGCTTTTTGGACCCAATTAGATACACAGTCGAGTCTTTAAAATAATAATTATAATTAGGGTAGCGTATGCGTAATCGTCAGAACGAATGAATCAACTTTAGTGATTTTAAAGGTTTTCTTTGCATTCATTGTAAACGTGTTTGTAGTCTAAATCTGCCGCTATAGATTTTGTATTGTTAACGGAGGTAGCGCAATACAGTTCTGTACATATCAAAGTGCCATTAGCGAAGACAAGATAGTACAATAAAGTGTCGATGCCAATCAGCACTGAATGGAAGCACGAACATATTGTCTGTAGGTGACAATCCTGGGAGTGTATGATTGTCGACGTCCTGTGCCTTTGTTATATACCTCGACAGTAACTTCTGTAAATGTATCAGGTCTCATACAATACATGGATACAAGAGTCAAATTTTAGTAGGAAATAAATCAAATATGTTACATAGGACGTGTTGTGTTTGAAACAGTTGATAGCATCTCCGGCACTTGATACATGAAGCTGTAAGTAATTCTAACACGGATATGTGAATGAATATTTTTATAGCTGTCGTCCACGATTCATTTACCAAGTAGATGTCAGTAAAGAAAAAACGTGTTTTTGTTTATAGAGCTATCATGTTTTACAACATGTCGATATAACATTGTAAATATGAACATAAGAAAAATATAAAAATACATGACATGTTTTATCTCGATTCCGTATGTTTAAATAGGAATCAAATCTTTGGTTAATTTACAAAAGATATTATTTGTCTTCAGACTGATGAAATACGAAAAAATATTTCATCAAATGAACACGGATGGTAGATTCTGTTTAGCAAAAGACAAATGTTTTAAAAGTTTTAAAATATTCTCGAAAAACAACGTTTTTATCAGAGCTCGTTTATATCATACATTCTAAACCGTTTTATGGCGCACATAGTGTTGCACGAAAACATAATCTCATTTGTAACGTCACAATATCAACCCTGGAAACGTGACTGCTACATAGTTTACTTTGATTAAGTTAAATTATCATATCATTATTTAGAATAAGTAACAAAGAAAAACAAAAAAATACAACGCGATATCAGTAATAATTGTGGAATATGATCACTTCACAGCCCTTCACCAAAATACATTTTTTCATTCTTTTTATTTTATTTTCCCATTATTTTTTTCCAATATGTCATGAATGCATTACTTAAATAAGGAATATATTCATTGAATTGCTCTGTATTACCTTAGCGTTATAACTTTAAGGTGAAAATACGTGAAATTTGTAAGTGTTCCTTTATTTCATTGTTTTTCAATTTTGAAATTTTGTTAATCCACAGAAGTCCGGATTCCTTCCTCGTTAGTGGCTTCCTAATACAACAACGATTCTGAAGTTCACAACATCATAGGGACACCTGCTATTGGGTGGGTAGGGGACGATATTCTATAGAAACGACAACATATAATCTAAACCATAAGCAAAGACTCTACACGCATAACCGTCGTCTCACCAGACGAAACCATTTATTTAACAGATGTACGTTTTTTTTAATGAACAAAAAGATCTATACTCTCAAAGCACAATGTCGAGAATGCATTCACCTACACTAAAACAAACATTGACCGTTTCTGATGTCTTGTACGGTGTTTCAGAATTATCTAATTTTTTTATCGTTGGGATTCTCATGAAGGGTACCAAATCAATGTTAATCTCCTTAAGTTGACTTTGAAATGATGAATAAAACTGCAATTAAATGTACCCAATCTACGTTATCAGGTTAAGGCTTTTATCCGTCCTGTAATTGTGTAATTTGATGACACGATGTTTGAAGGACTTGAAGGACGAAGTTGCGTTTCGCAATCGTGTCTGTCAAATAAATTGTATCGGTAATATTTATTCAATTATGAAGACCGACTCACGATTGGGGAAAAGGTAAGGCTTGTCGAAGATATTTTGTTGTAATTATTTAGAAAAAAAATGGAGGGGGGCGGGAGCGGAATTAACCAGTTCTACTTACATAATTGTAAGTAATTGTAAAAGTTACGCAGCGAAAGAAAAAAAACTTAAATCGACTTAGAAATCTCGATTTCTAGGGGTTTAGAAGTTAGAAAGAAAACATTTACACACGGGAGTGTTAACTCTCTTAAGATATTTTTATTTTCCACTGATCGTCTCTCTTTAGATCATTCAATTAAAACTTGAATTTATGCGTGAATCTCAGAAATCCTACTACACCGAGAAAAATTGTTTATTCAATTCACTACAAGCCTTCTAAAAAGAGCAAGCATTTGTGTTTAAGTTTAGAAAATGATTTTAAACATGTAGACGGCTCCATCTATACGGGTACTGATATTAGTGTGTATGCTTTAATTGTCTTTATTACAGTTTCAGATCAATGTATACACTGTATTGCGTGTCGAGCAAGAGTATAAATACAGTTATATAAAAGGACAGTGTTCAGCGGACTGTCTGAGAATGCTGGAGCCCTTATGTAGACAAGAAAATGCCATCACTAGAAAAATGAAGTAAACGTTTTACAAGTAGTTAATAACAATTGCAAACATGTGTACTATACCTATGCTAATATGAATCTGTGTCTGACATTCCCATCCTGACCGCTATACATAGAAACTCCGGCTATGGTGGATGTTCGGTTTATAGCCCAATTTATGTACCCACAAAGACCTATTATAGAACATGATGATGTTTTTTTCCAGACACTGGTGTATACTTAACAATCAAGTACATGCATGTTTATAATTCTGTTATTTGGTTAAGTATGATGATGTAAAATAAATTAAGTTTAAACCTCTACTAAATAGCGCCATTGGAGTAATAAACATAGATAATTGGTTTATATCCACAAAGCGTATTGGACATTGTAAGATATAGAATAACAGAATAGTTTGTTTCGATTTTCCAAGTTTTTCATCTTCCGCATTCGGCTTATAATATATTTAAATTAATTGATTTAACTTGACGTAATAATGTCAATTCCATGTACTTTTGTTAAAACTTGGAAGCGATCACACTATAAAGTTGGTTTACGTTTTCGTCATTGAATCAAGAGCTCTAATGATCACCATTCATTATGCACTCTAGGCTTCAGCATTGTAATTTCAAAAACAAATGGACATTCCGTCAAATTTCATTAATTTAGGTCTTGTGCTCGTTTTATATTACTCAAATTATTCCATACGCCTCAATGAAAAGGCAATGCCAAGCTATATAAATTACTGGTTTTTTACGAAAGGTTTCCCGGGAAGGTTTTATGAACTAAAGTGAACGAACGAAAATCAAATCAAACCTTTAACTTTTGCAAATTTTATCATTATAAAGAGAAGAAATGCTTTGAAATGGACACTAATTGTATTTGACAGAGCACGGAGGTATTACAAAAAGCGTTTGTTTAAGATGTCAATAACGGAGACCCGCTTCGGCTAGTGGTAGGATTGATTACGTCATAACCAGTCTGTTATCGGGTCTCTGTTCCTTAGATCATCTTACAATGTATACCTTCTAAATGATGTCATTATTGATAAACAACTGTCTACTTCACAACATTTGAAATTCCCTCAGGAATAACTTGTAACAACCTATCGGTACACGATTCTCCTCCTCTTACAACCTCTGCTTTTACACCATTTTTCGTTATGTCTTCACACTCTTCACAAACATCGAAATGACAATTTAATATCACTTTGCTAGACTCTACATTTATTCTTGTCATATACTAACAATAGCCGAAAATTACGATAGAAAATAATACTTGCATACATTTCCACGATATAAAAATAAAATAATGTTTTAGTTAATTTTTCTTTTGGTACTGTTTGCAAATATCAAACGGTATTTAGCTGTTGTATAATATCAGATAAACTTGGTAGAGAAAATTAGAATGCTTCGACATCGCGTGGTAACGGAATTATCTGAAAACATTTCTTACTTGGCATTTTATACACTTCGATTTATATAGTAATGATCGGATAAAATGTGATGCGATAATTTTTTAAGAATTAAATGCAGTCTTATCGCTAATATTTCTTTCAAATGATGAAATTATTAATGATAAAAAGGTATGATTTCTTATTTAATGCATAGATAATATTGTCATAGACTTACCTGATGTTAGGTGACAATGAAGTAGCAGTAATATAGGTAAAATGTATTTCATCCTAATCTCCAACACACACCAGCTATCCAAAAAGTCACGTAAATGATAGACAAGCAATGTCCGTCACGCAATGTCCAGTGTTTGGTGGCTGCAGTGGATCACAGTTGATGCTGAGCGCTTGCCGTATGCCACCTTTGTTGTCGTAACGGGTGATACCGCTCTTATATCTTAGCTGTGACGGAAAGTGACGCCAACCATCCAACCATCGAATCATTGATCTACGATTAACTCTTTTGTCAGTGAAATCTGTATTCGGTTAGGACACGCCCCTCCTAGCGACGAAATCAGTTGCCGCATCCAATCGTTGACTAAGAGAAATAACCATTGTTGCCCAAACTGCCTTTCCCTTGGGCCCTACCCTTGAACACGTAGTGAATGACAATGATAATGGCATGATTGTCTCCCACTCGAGTACATTAAATTAAAGCGTACCTTGACGTGTGGGGTGCCAGTCTTCAGACTAGTTTACATGGTTTATAGCCAATAATCCCTAGGTCTTTCATCAGATTAGTGACCAGTTTTCTGTGGGACATTCTCTCGTTAAGCTGTGCACTGTTTTAAGGATGATATATTTGTGCAATTGTTTTCATTACATTCTCTCTACCTGAAATCTCTGTTACATTAACGTTCAGTTACGTAATGCCTGTCTTTGAAGTTATTGTTCGTTTAGATGTTTTTTTTATTCATTGAAACCTTTTATCTGCTAACGAAACTGATATTTTCATTGGATCTACAGACCAGGGAAATATTGTTGAATCGAAAAATCACCAAACATGTTTGCTATCATTGGCACGTTTTACTTTAGATATGATACCCATATGTAGTAGACGCACACTCTGACAATTATCCTAATTGTCTTAACTGTATTTTCATGCTAAGGACCTTTTTTCTTAAGACCATTTTCCTGCTTAAGCTGAAGTTAAGGGTTCAAACCACACAGTTATTGCTTTTCTTGGAGACCGACCTTGTACCATGGCAATTACTTGTGAAAAGGTAAAAGGATAAAATGAATTCCCATATACCTTAAACCTGAATCAGAACAAAACATACCACAATTCCTCACTCCCTCCTCTTCGATCTCGAGACTCGAATTTCCAACTCATAATTTGCAATTTTCAACTGTAATATAGTTTTCTTTCTTTCTTTATCGGACTGCATTATTTTAAGGTTGAAGTTATGTTTGTTTGTAGGTAACGATTTATGGTTTTCTGTGCTGAGAACAGCAAACATGTCAATACCACTAGTGCGTAGAATTATTTCTGAATGGTTTTGAATATTGAGATTTGATACGATCAATGAGCGATATTAATTATCTAGACCACTTTTACTTGGGTAAAATGGTATTGTCCATCCATATAATATTTCTAATGCGTATATTGATTTCCGATAAATTCTAGAACCTTGTCAGGTCCTTCTCCACAACAGTTGAATCATTTTTAGCAGTTTGCTTTTCATTTTTGTACAAACAAGACAAATTCTGAAATATTTTGCCTTTTAAAAAATCAGAGTAGACTTTTCTGAGATTCTGCTGATAAAAAAATCATGGTGTTGTCCTCTTTGACTCGATCGATGTTTAGTGGTATTTCTTTTTCCATTTTAAAACAATGCTTTTGGTCCAAAATAGACATGTTCAAAGATGTATATATAGAAAGACTTGATTGTTCTGACAGACAACTGTTGTGTAACACACACCCTGGAACCAACTGTGTTCATAATTGTTTCCGATGTTGATTCGTTTGGCTATCCTTATTCTATGGTTATCATGGACTGTCCATTCTTCTGTATTTACACAGCAGTAAAATTAGGTATCGTACCTCTTCTATCTACCTATGATGTTCGTAAATCCATCAACAGAATTAAACCTGTTGTGACTTAGAACAAAACCAAATCAAAATAATCTAAAGACGACATATGATAAGCATCAGTTATTGGAACAAGGTACAAATGCATATTGAACAACTCACTGATTGAATCATATACTCTTTCAACAATACTTCCGAAAGGATTGTCATTGCGTTTCTCTATGGAAGAATTTGAAACCATGAAAGACCATGCCTGATTATCGCGTGATGCCGTTTCAAATACGGATTACTGTGATACTGCAGGGAACCATTTTACCGAGTGAATAGGAAGAAAAGGCTACAATCATAACCTGATATCACGTTACTATCGCAGCTTCCATTATATCATGATTTTTTTTCAACCTGACATTTCACTTTTAATCTCATTATCATTTACATCATTCGCTACGAATTTCCGCCCACCCCCCCTAAAAAAAAAAAAAAAAAATTGTACCAAGGTTCCCCTGAATGCGTTTTGTTTAAGAAATGTTTCATTGAATATTAGAACTAATGCTATGTTGAATAAGCTCAAGTGATATAAACTTTTTAAGACGTCAGTTACATTGGTATTGTATTGTACAGTCAATTGGACACCTTTAAGAGACAAAGTTCAAAAATTAAAAAACGGTCCTTTCTAAGGCAAACCAAGATTTCGATAGAGCAGTATAGAGAGAAAACATAAATTAGAACAACCAATACATAACAGTTAATATGTCGCTACATACCAGATATCAGCAGACAAAATCTTAAAACCAAGTCCATCCACTACAGCATAGAGAATTCAGTAACACAGCTGCAAGTCCATAAGAAACAACCAATGTTACGGAAGGGGAAACGTTGTTCTAAATATCAAACCCAAAATATTTCCGCGTAAGTATTTACAAGAAAATTACACGTTTGAATATATTTTAATTAGATACAACAGAAATAAATATTCAATAAACTGCAACATACAATAACGGACTCCTTCAACCACTTTCAATTATGCTAGAGACCTTAGGAAAAAGCGTTCGACTTGATATACTCACAAAACCTTAATCAATCTTAATTTTCGTTTCTTACGGAAAGTACCATAAAGGTTATCATTCAAACCTAATTGTATTTCTATCCGGATGAACAGTCGTAGACACTAATGTGGACATATACAGTATCCTTGATAGACGTGGCTGGATTGTAATGGTAGCAGGGGACAATGGTACGGTATTTAAGGTAGACAAATACTATTGGGAGTACAGTACAAGGCATTAGATACCACAGATTGGCGCTCATAGACGTTTGTTAAATCCTATAGAATTATACAACCGAACTAAACAAATGATGTTGTCTGTGGACGTGATCAATACGTACTGCTCGTGAAGAATATACAGCCGTCAACACACAAGTATGTCAAAGAGTCAGACATTAGGGTCTGCTTACACGGAACACAGGTACTCCAGACAGTGATGTCATTATACACGGGACACAGGTACTCCAGACAGTGATGTCATTATACACGGGACACAGGTACTCCAGACAGTGATTTCATTATACACGGGACACAGGTACTCCAGACACCGATGTCATTATACACGGGACACAGTTACTCCAGACAGTGATGTCATTATACACGGGACACAGGTACTCCAGACAGTGATGTCATTATACACGGGACACAGGGACTCCAGACAGTGATGTCATTATACACGGGACACCGGTACTCCAGACACCGATGTCATTATACACGGGACACAGTTACTCCAGACAGTGATTTCATTATACACGGGACACAGGTACTCCAGACACCGATGTCATTATACACGGGACACAGGTACTCCAGATAGTGATGTCATTATACACGGGACACAGTTACTCCAGACACCGATGTCATTATACACGGGACACAGGTACTCCAGACAGTGATGTCATTATACACGGGACACAGGGACTCCAGACAGTGATGTCATTATACACGGGACACAGGTACTCCAGACAGCGATGTCATTATACACGGGACACAGGTACTCCAGACAGTGATGTCGTTATACACGAGACACAGGTACTCCAGGCAGTGATGTCATTATACACGAGACACAGGTACTCCAGACAGTGATGTCATTATACACGGGACACAGGTACTCCAGACAGTGATGTCATTATACACGGGACACAGGTACTCCAGACAGTGATGTCATTATACACGGGACACAGGTACTCCAGACAGTGATGTCATTATACACGGAACACAGGTACTCCAGACAGCGATGTCATTATACACGGGACACAGGTACTCCAGACAGCGATATCATTATACACGAGACACAGGTACTCCAGATAGTGATGTCATTATACACGGGACACAGGTACTCCAGATAGTGATGTCATTATACACGGGACACAGGTACTCCAGACAGCGATATCATTATACACGTGACACAGGTACTCCAGACAGCGATGTCATTATACACGGAACACAGGTACTCCAGACAGTGATGTCATTATACACGGAACACAGGTACTCCAGACAGCGATGTCATTATACACGTGACACAGGTACTCCAGACAGCGATATCATTATACACGAGACACAGGTACTCCAGATAGTGATGTCATTATACACGGGACACAGGTACTCCAGACAGTGATGTCATTATACACGTGACACAGGTACTCCAGACAGTGATGTCATTATACACGTGACACAGGTAATCCAGACAGTGATGTCATTATACATGGGATACAAGGACTCAGTACGAGTACACAAGAAACTCAGGTTATCCAGAATGTAACATTATTACACATGGGGCATCATTGTACTGCGCTCTCAGGTATTCTATATGAGTATAGAAAGATATGTATAGATCAGGATAATTTTCCTACCAACAGTTCTATGTTAATCAAAAATAAAAGTAGTCTCATCTTACAACTGTCTTAAGGTTTTTTTTGTGTTGAGGCGCCTTATCGTTATAGCGTTATACTCATATTGACGTCACCACAGAAAACATTCAGTGTCACGAGCTTAAAATATGAACAAAATAAAAATAACACGGAGACTCCTGAAAAAGTAAAACGAGAATAGGACGGGTTGTACAAGGAGAGCAAACATCATTTGCTTCATCGACGAAACCCGCCATGTAAACTTTGGTCAATCTAAGTAAGTTATGTCACGTCAACAAACAAGGTATACG